TTGATATGAATTTTCTAAAACTTATCTAAAATAGCAAAATTTCATATTTAAGTGACAAAATGACGTCGGATCACCGAAATCTAATGTGATTCATAAGTAAAGCTCATGAGCCTTGTTCGTCGGGCTGTTTTGATTGGGATAGGTTTTTAAAACTGCTATGAAAACACAAAAAAACCTTAATAAACATGGAAAAATAATCATTTTGCAGAAAAAAATGGAAAATGAATTAAAACATAATTATAATAGAAATCGCAGTTCCACAAACAACGCAACTGACGGAATCGTCATCTCATGTTTCAATTCATTGATATGAATTTTCTAAAACTTTCGTAATATGGCAAAATTTCATTTTTAAGTGACGAAATGACGTCGATCACTGGACATTCATGAGCGTAGCTCATCATCTTTGTTCGTAGGGCCGTTTTGATTGGGACAGGGTTTTTATATTGCTGTTAAAAGTCAAAAAACCTTAACAAACCTGGAAAACGATTATTTTGCAGAAAAAATAAAAAATGAGTCAAAACCTAATTATAATAGAACTCGCTATTCCTGAAACAATTACTGATATAAACATCATCTTATGTTTCTATGAATTGATATTAATTTTCTAAAACTTTTCTGAAATAGCAAACTTTCCTTTTTAAGTGACGAAACGACGTCGGATCACCGAATTGTGTTGTTTCTCGTGAGCGAAGCTCATGGATTTTGTTCGTCAAGCCGTTTTGCTTGGTATAGGGTTTTGAAACTCCTGTGAAAATACGGAAAACCTTAATAAACCTGGAAAAACGATCATTTGGTAGAAAATTTGGAAAATTAATTAAAACCTAATTATAATAGAACACGCAATTCAAGAAACAACGCAACTGACGGAATCTTCATCTTGTGTTTCAACAAATTGATATGAATTTTCTAAAACTATCGTAAAATAGCAAAAATTAACTTTATGTGACGAAACAACGTCAGATGACCGAAATGTGATGCGATTCATGAGCAAAGCTGAAGAGATTTGTTCGTTAGGCCATTTTGATTGGGATAGGGTTATTAAATGGCTATTAAAACTAAAAAAACCTTAACAAACGTGGAAAAATGACCGTTTAGTAGAAATTTTGGAAAATGAATTAAAACCTAATTATAATAGAACTTGCATTTCCAGAAACAATGCAACTGACGGATTCCTAAAGTGATGCTTCTCTGAATTGATACGAATTTTCTTCAACTTTCCCTAAATATCAATATTTCATTTTTAAGTGTCGAAAAGACGTCCGATCACTTAATCTGCCGTGATTCATTGGTGGAGCTCGTGAGTTTAGTCCGTCGGTCATTTTTGCATGGAATGGTGTTTTTAACGTGCTATTAAAACTCAAAAAACCTTAGTAAACATGAAAAACAATCATTTTGTAGAAGAAATAAAAAATGAGTTAAAACGTAATTATAATCGAACTTGCAAATCTAGAAGAAACGCCACTGACGAAATCCTCATCTCATGTTCCAATCAATTGATATGAATTTCATTACACTTTCCTAAAATACCAAAAGTTAATTTTTAAGTGACAAAAACACATTAGATCACCAAAATCTTACGTGATTCATGAGTTAAGCTCATGAGATTATTTCGTCGCATTGTTTTGCTTGGGTTGGGGTTTTAAACGTGCTATATAACTCAAAAAATCTTAATTAAACTGGAAAAACGATCATTTTGTAGAAAAAAATAGAAAAATGGGTTAAAACCTAATTATAGTAGAACTCGCATTCTAGAAACAATGCAATTGACGGAATCCTCATCTGATGTTTTTATGAACTGATATGAATTAAAAAAAATCCTAAAATAGCAAAAAATCAATTCTAAGTGTCAAAAAGACGTCAGATCACCAAAATAATCGTGATTCATGAGCTATGTCTATGTGTTTAGTTCGTCGGTCTGTCTTGATTGGGATGGGGTTCTTAACGTGTTTTAAAACTCAAAAAACCTTAATAAACCTGGAAAAACGATCATTTTGCAGAAAAAATAGAAAATGGGTTAAAACCTAATTTTAATAGAACTCGCATTTCCAGAAACAATGCAATCGATGGAATGCTCATCTAATGTTTTTATGATTGATATGTATTTTCTTAAACTTTCCTAAAATCGAAATTTTTCATTTTTAAGTGACTAAACGAAGTTGAATCACTGAAATCTGACGTGATTCATGCGATTTGCTCATGAGTTTTGTTCGTCTGTGTGTTTTACTTGGCATAGGGTTACTAACGTGCTATTCAAACTCAAAAATCCTTACTAAGCGTGGATAAACGATCATTTTGTTCAAAAAATAGAAAATGAGTGAATACGTAATTATAATAGAACTCGCAATTCCAAAAACAACTCAACTGATAGGATCCTCATCTAATGTTTCAATGGATATTTTCTAAAAATTTCCTAAAATAGCAAAATTTCATTTTTATGTAACGTAACAAAGTCGGATCACCGAAATTTGGCGTGATTCATAATACTGATACCAATACGGATACTAATACCGGTGCTGCTATTGGTACTAATGATAATGTTGATCCTGACACTGATACTGATACTGATACTTATATTGATACTATTATTGATACTGATGTTGATATTGATACTGTCACTGATACCGATACTGATATTGGTACTGATACTGATACTGTTACTGGTACTGGTGCTGGTGCTGGTGCTGGTGCTGGTGCTGGAGCTAGTGTTGTTGGTGCTGGTCCTTGTCCTAGTGCCGGTGTTGGTCCTGGTGCTTGTCTTGGTGCTTGTACTAGTACTGATACTGATACTGATACTGATACTGACACTTATACTGATATTGATACTGATATTGATACTGATACTGATACCGATACTTATACTGATACTGATACTGGTTTTACCATATTACGATGGTTAATCTAAGTCAGTATCACCACCTCATTTATGAATATCTCTATTTCGCTCTCATCCAATTTTATGGATTTGTTTATTGGAACAACACGTTCATCGCTCATAACCCTTTGTAAACTGTTCCGTAACCTCCTCGGTTAAGGATGCGTTCTTTTGAATAATTATCGGTGGCCTTCTCAAGCTCTTCGGTTGAAAATATTTTGACTAATTCCATACCATATGTCAGTAGAAAGTTTCTGCTTGAATAACAAACCACCATTGTGCTGGAAAAATCTCTCTTAGTTTATTGAGTCTCCTCTTCTAGATGCTAAAGTATATCCATGTAATGTCGATTATCACAATCACAAAGCCTAAACTGATACCTCAAAATTCAGATTTAAAATTATAATATTTGATCTTTATCTTCATCCAACATAAATAAATAAAATCATTGAATTTCATCGTTCACAAGTATCAGAAGAATTAGTGCATATGGCCTTTGGTGCACATGGATTATTCTCACATTCGTTTATGTCAGAAATTCAGAAATGAACATCATAATAATCCTCTTATCCAAACAGATAAACAATTTCTCACGTGTGTGGTGTGTAAAAATCCAAAAGAAAACTAACCTGTGCAGCTGGGTTCGAGATACGGATTGCCCTCATATCCTTGGAAGCATATACAGTTATATCCATTAACACTGGTGGTGGAGTCGATGTAGTAACTATTCTTGTGACATGCAAAATCATCGAATTTCCAATCTTCATCACAATGATTCATTCTTGAAAAGTGACATCATCGAGATCAGGAGAATGCAAGTCTATGTACCCTACGCAGCAAGAAAGGCATAACCACAAGGGTTAAAGGACCACACTTTAACGTGTTTATTAATGTTGTCTAGAGAAGCCGAAAAACTCGTTAGTCCGTTTGGTATTGAGGCCTGGCAACAACCAGTACCATTGTAATAACCATCGATAATCTTCTCTTTCGAATACCAAGTGGAAACGAATGCATTGGTCGAATTAGGACCCTCAACTCTGAATAGTAGTGCAGTATCATCACATCCGTAAATTTTCAACTTATTTGCATCATATATGCTATAATGTTGTTATAACTTAGTGTCATTGACTACGTCTTGCCTGGTCACGTTGCCTATTTTGTTCTAACACGTGGCAGCTATCCGTTTCTTTAACCTGAACCTGTTATATCAGTAACTTCAATACCAAATGCTCCACAGTAACTTGAATACCAAATGCTCCAGTAAAGGGCTTTGGAGTGTCGAAAGACTTATTGTAGTAGATGTCGAATGAAGGGTGTATAGAGCACCCTGAGTTAGTGCCAATGCCGAATGGATAGGGAACGGTTAGATACCCACATTTGCTTTCGCGGAATGGCTTTGCTATGTAGACGCCTTTTGTGATGGTTGATGGAGGTCTCCTTGTGCAGGTTAGATTGGAAACCGCCACTACGTATTCGACCGTTACGAGATGGAAGAGAAGATAAATAGAAGAATGTTTGTTATTACCATTGTTGGTGATATTTTTTTTGTGAATATTGTTGGTTGCTGGTGATTTTAAGCTCAGCTAATGTGCAACCACAATATTGATTCTCTTCGTACTTGGTATCATGTTACATTAGTTGGAACGTATTAAAATATAATTGGCATGATAGATGCCAATTGAAATATAATATCGGAGGAGTTTGTAAGGATAGCATGATTGGATGGTTGAAGTTCAGCAAGTTGCATTTAGGGCACTGTCAAACTAAACCTCAATAATATGAGTATTAATATTTGCAGCATTTTAGTTAAATGGTAACCCCACACGTTGGCTAGATTGTCAACCATCTGTATGTTTCTATTTTCATCAATACTCTTGGTTTGTCACCTTACATCTCTAAATATTTAATACGAGTTTTGCTCGACAGCCTTCTCTCTCTCTCTCTCTCTCTCTCTCTCTCTCTCTCTCTCTCTCTCTCTCTCTCTCTCTCTCTCTCTCTCTCTCTCTCTCTCTCTCTCTCTCTCTCTCTCTCTCTCTCTCTCTCTCTCTCTCTCTCTCTCTCTCTCTCTCTCTCTCTCTCTCTCTCTCTTTCTATATATATATATATATATATATGGCAAAGTTCACTTTGCGCCCTTTAATTATGGGGTGTGTCGCAAACACACCCCTCAATAACAAAACGTATAAAATATCCCCTCGTGTTTGTATTTCATTTAAATATGCTGACATTACTTATTAACTTTCTTGTTGCCTTTTTCTTTGGAAATTTTATCCCTATTGTATAGGGTTCAAAGCTTATATGTGTATTATTTTTTTACCTTTATTTTTCTTCATTTTTTTCATTTAAAATTAATTCATTTTTTTCTTAACCTCACTAATATATCCAACTCTTGTTGTAATCATGAGCTCAATTTCATATAGCAATCCTAAACAACCCACATTAGCAACTAGATACCTATTTTCTTTAATTAAATCAAACATCTCAAAATTGGACATTAAATCATGATAAACATCTCACTCAATATTGTAATTCAAACCCCCAACATATTCAAACTCCGTAAAGGCTTCCACAATGCATTTTAATTACGAAAAAAATGACATGCCATTATAACCTACAAAAAAATTGCTCAAGATTATAAAATATTAAAATAAGCTTAAAAATTGCTTAAATAGTCATCCAAGTATCGTTTGCAAGATGAGTTATGTTGGAAAAAAATGAACAAGATGTGACTTTAATTAACATTTTTTTAATTTTCACTGAAATATTTCAAATTACTATGGCTCACATATGTAAATTGTTTGATATTTGGTCGCTAGGGGTATAAGTTGTGAGTTCTATAAAAGTTTGGTGTCTGGTAGAAGAATATAATGCATCTTAATTTTTAGAGTTAACAATTTTCTCATTTATGCATTCTACATCTGTTTCTGTTTCAATTGTTACACTTCGCACTGCTGCTTTCTCACATGAAACTTGGTCCGGGCCTTGGAAGATGTGGCTAAATCAATTACATGTATGATTGCATCTGGATCTTGTCTAACTGACTTCGTCTTTAAAGGTATCCACATCATCCTGTAACTTCTTAACTTTCAAATTGTTATAATTTATTTTGGATATATCGAATTTGTTGGATAGTTGATTATATGTAACAACTTTCCTTGGAGGTTTCTGCTCTTTGCTGCTCTTTTTTTAAGAACCTTAGTTTTGGAGAGATGCTAATTTCTTCCAGTAACTTTGGATGACCTATAAATAATCATCCGATCGATCAATATGTGATTCAACATTAAAATATGAGTATTGATGTTCTATGAAGGCATGTTATGAATGGATGTTGTATGCGTCATAATAAAGATCAAAATGCCTCGGTATGTGTTGCATAACACACTTTCATGCTTTTATATATCCATTGCTACTTTAATTGGTCCTTCAATTTAATAAAATCAAATTGAAGGGTATTATTAAGGAAATTTAGGGAAGGTAAACACACACAAAGAATAGCCTCATCATGCTCAATACAATAAGAGAATATATATACAATATTAATTTTTCTTCATACATAAGAAAACTATTGATTGTTTCCCGAATCTTTGGGTATGCAAGTTACTTAACAATGAGTTATTTTAACTCCTATAACATAAAAATTAGGAAAATTATGTATACACGAAGAATAATATGGGGAAACATGAATTAAGAAAGAGCCTGATAGGAAACACCATAGCGCATAAATAACTTATATGCTACTTTCGATTAACGAGGAGTATTGATTGCATGAAACAAATCACTCTCCAAATTGTACTGCCGAAATGTGAAATCAGGATATACTGGAACTGGATATAGATCAGGTTGTTGCTCACTTGTTGCTCCCATGTTTCCATCAAGGATTTGTTCTTCTTTTTTGTGGGACTGTATATTATACTTTCTCAACCTTTCCAATTCCATTGTCACTTCTTTCATTGTTGGTCTTTCTTCTCCTTTTGACTCAAGACATCTCTTAACAACCTCACCCATTGCACCGATTTGCTCCAAACTCCCTTCCCTCATAATTTTTGGCTCAATTATTTGGAACAACCGATTTTCCTTCACACATGCAACAAAGTAATTAGCCAGGTTAATCTCTTCTTCACTCTTTTCAGTAGACACAGGTTTTCTACCTGTTACAAGCTCAGCCAACACCACCCCAAAGCTATATACATCACTTTTTTCAGTCAGTTGGCTTGTACGGAAATACTCAGGATCAAGATAACCAAAGGTTCCCTGTACAAGAGTAGTTGCTCGTGTTCGATCAATAGGAATGAGTCTTGAAGCTCCAAAATCTGCTATTTTTGCAGTGTAAGACTCATCTAGTAATATATTAGGAGATTTAACATCTCTATGGATAATCGGCATTCCAGCTGAAGAATGAAGATAGGCAAGTGCACCAGCAGCCTCTGAGGCAATCCTCAACCGGTTTTCCCAGGAAAACCATGTCATTTCCTCACTATTATGAATATAGTGAAATAGGGTACCATTTGAGATATATTCATATACTAATAAAGGTACCTCAGTTTCCAAACAACATCCCATTAGTTTTACCACATTTCTGTGGTTAACCTGAGTCAGAATAACCATCTCATTGATGAATATCTCTATTTGGCTCTCGTCCAATTTTATGGATTTCTTGATTGCAACAACACGTTCGTCACTTAGTATCCCTTTGTAAACTGTTCCATAACCACCTCGACCGATTATTCGATCCTCAGAATAATTGTTGGTAGCCTTCTCAAGCACTTGAGCAGAAAATACTTTAGCTGATTCCATACCACCCTTCTCAGAAGACAATTGCTTCTTCAATAACAAACCACCATTTTGGTGGAAAAACTTCTGTCGTAGTTTCATGAGTTTCCTATTTTTGATGGCAAAGTATATCCATGTAATGCCAATTATCACAGTCACGATGCCTAACCCAATACCTGAAAATTGAAATTTTGAAATCCTAATATTTGATCTTTATACACATCCAACGCAATTGAAAACAAAGAATAAAGAGATTGAATTGAAGTTTATCAATCACAAGTACCTGATGACAACTTCATAGCTGAGATGGATCTTTTATGTTTAAAGCAGCCACTGCCATTTTTTGTGCCATCACCCATGAGGCCATGAGGACACGAACAATTATAACTACCAGGAGAATTAGTGCATGAGGCAATTGGTACACATGGACTATTTTCACATTCGTTTGTGTCTGAAATTGAGAAATGAACATTATAATAATCTGTTTGTCAAAACATCAAAATAGATAAATAATTTATAGCTAGCCTAATAAATTACGTGTGGTGTAAAAAGACAAAAGAAAACTAACCTGTGCAGCCTGGTTCGAGATATGGATTGCCCTCATATCCCTGAAAGCATATGCAGTTATATCCATTAACACTGGTGGTGGAGTCGACGCAGGTACTGTTCTTGTGACATGCAAAATCATCAAATTTTCGAGCTTCATCACAAGTTTCATTCTGAATCACCCAATCGATAACTATTGGGACATTCTCAATGATTCGTTCTTCAAAAGTGATGTCATCGAGGTTAGAGGAATGAAATGTAAAGGTATCCTGCTCTGCAAGAAAGGCATAACCACAACGGCTAAAGGACCACACATTAATGTGTTTATGAATGCTGCTTAGAGAGGCATAAAGTCTTTTTAGACCCTTTGATATTGAGGTCTGGCAACAGCCGGTACCATTGCAATAACCATCAAGAATTTGCTCTCTTGAAGTACAAGTGGAAACGCACTCATTGGTCGAATTAGCATCGTCAAGCCCGAATAGTAGGGCAATATCATCACACCCGACAATTGTGAACTTGTTTGCATCAGATATGCTAAAAGGTGGCTGTATCTGGATGTCTTCGAATAGATCATGTCTGGTTACATCGCCTATTTTGTTGTAACAGGTGGCAACCATGTGGTTCTTGATCCTGATTTTTGAATCTGTTATATCAGCAACTTCAACCCCCAATATTCCACTGAAGGGCTTTGGAGGGTTGAAATCATGATCGCAGTTGATATCAAATGAAGGGTGTATTGAACATTTTGAGCCTATGCCGAATGGATAAGGAACAACTAAATTCCCACACTTGCTTTTGCAGCCTGGCTTTGTTATGTTGGCGCCTTTTGTGATAGTTGATGGAGGTCTTCTAGTGCTGGTTTGATTGGAAACTACCACTGCATATTTGACCGATACGAAATGAAATAGAAGAGAGAATAGAAGAATTTTTGTTAACATTGTCGGTGTGCTATAATGCATTCAAAAAAGTGGGGGTTGCTGGTGATTTAATTTTGAGCTAGCTAATATGCAACAACAATATTGATTGTCTTCAATCTTCATACTAGGCATCACGTTACATTAGTCAGAGCATATAAAAATATAATTGGCACGATAGCTGCAAGTTGAAGTGTATTTATAATATAATATCAAAGGAGTTTGTAAGAATAACATAAACTAATTGTTGAAGCAGTTGTATTTAGGACACTGTCAAACTAAACCTCAATAATATGAGTATTAATATTTGCACAATTTTAATTAAATAATTACCCCTCACGTCATGCAAGATTGTCAACCATCTCTAATTTTTTTGTTTTCACCAGTACTCTTAGTTGTCAGCTTACATATCTAAATATTTACAAGAAATTTGTTTGAGTTGGTGAAATAAAAGACTAAAGAAAATTTAGTAAATATTTTTTATGGAATTAGAAAAAAACTAATTTTTTGTAAGAAAAATAATTAGGAAAGAAGAAATTATTTTAAATTTTTAAATTTTGATATAGAATAATTTCCACACATTTTCTTCAAAAATTATCATGGAAACTAGAGAAAATATATGGAGTTTTTAGCAAGCGGTACCCCTGTGATAAGTCTAATTATCGGAAAAGTCCTTGTGTTAAAAATATTAGCATTTACCCCCTACAAAATTTAGTCAAACAGATGCAATCCCCTAATCCATGATCGTGCAACACACTCGCCAGTTATGCGACTAAGAGTGTGTTTTCAGCCTGAAAAGATATAAATAGCCTCTAAATCAGAAATTTCAAAAATTATATATTCACCCCAGAATTTTTGTAACACACATATGAAGTTTTCATTTTTTAATTCAGTCCCTCATAGTTTCAGTAAACCCCTCTCTCCGATTGAAACTCAAACACACTATCATTTTCTCGTCTGCTCCGTTCATGGCCGGAAACCATTATCCGGACTTCGCCATCGTTAACCACTCCTCCCCTCCCTTGTTTATTTAAATATATTTGATTTACATTTCATACACACACACACACACACACATATATATATATATATATATATATATATATATATATATATATATATATATATATATATATATATATATATATATATATATATATATATATATATATATATATATATATATATATATATATATATATATGTATTATAATTACGAAATAAGGAAATAATATAATACTTATAAAACTAAAAATAACTATGTTACATAATTCGGTACAATTAAATTACTTATAGAATTGTTTAAAAAAATACAAAATAAAGTTTTATAACATAAATTAATTAATATTAGATCTTTAAGATTTATTTATATTTAATACATATTTTATTTCATAAAAGTCCAACTAAAAGAACTAAAAATTAAAATTTATTAAAAGATATAAAATAAAAATAAATATTCAGAAATACAAACATAAAAAATTGGCTTTTGTGTATATATTTTTGGGTGTGGGGTTTTATGCGTTTATATATTTTAGGGGTACTAGGCAGGTGCACGTGCGTTGCACGTGTCGTAATTATTTTACTGTATATTTGCTATTTTTACTTTATGCTTGACACATATTCAGAAAAAAATATATTATTATATATATTTAATTTGTCTAAATTATGTTTTGAGACAAGTTAAACCTTTTTCATTATATATAATAGAACATGTGTTATTCATGTAAGCAATTTTGCAATATTCTTAAATCATTGTTTTTCATCTTCATAGTTTAATTTGTTGTTTTTAAGTTTTTAACAGTTAAATTATGTTTGAAGGAAATAGACTCTTTTGAAATGTTTGGGGATTCATTTTTTTGAAAAGCCTAACTTGATATGTTTTGGGTGAGAGTTGGAAGAAAATGAGAGAACCAAACATTGTGTGACAATCAAGATCAGTATGTACCATAAATTAATTACATGTGTTTTTTAAATAAGTACAATAAACTACTATTATCACTTTTTATTTAGTTATGTAATTTGATTATCATGATACAATAGTCATTTTTTTACAGTGAGCTCGTATGAATCCACATGAAATAGATGATAGACCCCATTAATAGATGTATTTCATCTTCTACATCAACATAAGTAAAAAAAACAATAAATAAAAAAATCAGACAAACGATAATATACACAAAAAAAAAAAAAAAATCGACAAATAACTATGTACACGGGGAATATTTTTCTCTTCCTTATGCCTCTTCTATACTGAATGATGCATGGTGAGAATGACATACTATAGTGTGTATGTATATTGTAAGCGATTATGTTTATGGGATAAATTAGTCTAATCTATGCCAAAAGTTGTGAATTTAATCAAGTTATTTTTCATCTTTGATATACATATAACGACAAATATATGATATATATGTGTTCATTGGTATGGATTTATACATATGTATAGTATAATATAGTCTAGTGAAGTACATCAACGTAACATGAAACAAAACTAATGAATTTTGTGGGCAAATTGTTTTCTTACTAAGGAATTAATGATCATTTTCCATTTTGTGTACAATGAATATATATATATATATATATATATATATATATATATATATATATATATATATATATATATATATATATAAAAATAAAAATAAAAAATCTTTTGTCAATAATCTAGCTTACAAAAATAAATTGTTGAAAATAAAAAAATATTTATTGTCCGTTTGGCAAAATTTATTTTAGACAACTCAATAATCTAGCTCTGAATAATCCAATGAAACCATAGGGGTGTGCCATTTGAAGGAAACCATAGGGGTGTGCCCGGGTCGATTCGGTTAGATTTTTGGCTAAAAGCGAACATGAATCGAATATATCGTTTTTTGTAAAATTAGAAACCATATATGTCTGTTTTTCATCGGTGCGGTTTCTTTTGGTTTAGGTTCGCGGTTTTTTCGGTTCTGTTTCGGTTATTTTTCGGTTCAAGCGTACTATATATTCAAGTTATACAAATAAAAAAATCGAATTACAATTACTTTCACAACCAACGAATGCAATGGAAATATAAAAATTTTAATCCCATAGGACTTAATTTAGATGATGTATTATGCTTCATTTTTTTACTACTTTCATCAACCACATTATTAAAATCATGAACTCGAGTAAAATTTAGTTACTAAATAAATAAAATACAATGTTTCAATTTATGAACAAATGTTTAGTATGAGGCGAGTAAAATTTAGTTACTAAATAAATAAAATACAATGTCTCAATTTATGAACAAATGTTTAGTATGAGGCAAGTAATTGAAAGATACAAAGTAAAATTTAGGATAAAATAATACATATAATACATAAATGAAGTCATTTTATAGTTTGGTTCGGTTCGGTCATTTACCCTTTCCACCATACCGAACCGAATAATTCGGTATTTGAAGAGTAAAAAACCGTACATATGGTTTGCTATTCGGTACGGTTTAAAACGGCTCACTTTTTCATTTTTTCGGTTCGGTTTTTCAGTTCGTTTGCTCACCCCTAGGAAACAATACATATTGAATATTTTGTCTATTTTTGTACACATCAACTTGGTGGTCGGTATACAAAACTAACCTTCAAAGTAAACAATTCTCGGCGAAAAATGTATTAAAAAAAAAAAAAAAAAAAAAACAAACAAACAAACAAACAAACAAACAAACCCCATGGTTTTCATCTCTACATAAAATGGCAGAGGAAAAAAACATTGTATCGAGTAAAGACACTATAAGAAACCGACATCTGATCCTGTTGTTTAATAATTTTCAACAAAGTTAAGGAATTATAATGTTCAATAAAATAGTTTTATTTGAAATAATAATATTATATATACACAATGTCTAAATATGAATACAAACATAGTACTTGAAATATAAGAAACACAAGTAAGTACGTTATCAAATACTTAAACTTGTATCAATTAACCAACCACACATAATGAATATTAAGATGATGAACTTACATCTCAAGAAGTTGTGCCCCCTTATGTGACCTCGAGCAGGAAATAGACAAAAAATAGTAAACAATGCCAATAGGCAGTGTTTTTCTGAATCTTCTTTATATGATTAGTTATACAAATCTAGGTGATATAAGTAGATTAATATAAATAAATGCATATACGGATTTCTTGCTTAGTAATGACCCTCACCATTTAGAATACACTCTTTGCAATTACAACATGGACATTCTTATTATTCCCAATTGTTTACAAAATAATAATAGCATCACAAACTTAGAAGATTTTTCAACATAAAACTGGAGAATATGTATTCAGTTTGTGGATATTTAAATATTGTATGGAAACATCCATATGAATGTGATCATTTTGTTTGCCTTTATTATGTAGTGACTGCTTCACATTAAATTTTGTATAAAATTTTAAGACCTTTGAACTTCTTGTATTAACCAAGGGCCAATGAAGATGGCTGCACCTGTAATAAAACATATGATGGTGTAGTTAATAGTACAATATATTCGTATGAGGAATTCAAGAATTCAACTAAACCGTTACAACTTTATTTGATGTATTAATTCGTAGTATACTTAAATTATTTTAACTCAACGTCCATTTAATTAACTAAAAACCTTAAATCAAAATTATAATTAATATTTTTTACTATGCAATATTACCATATTATCCTAAAAATATAACATGTGTAAGGGGTAAATTAGGAACTACCAAAAATGGAAGAAACCTTCCCTAACATTCACACTTTTATAAGTAGTATAGATTAGTCGTTTCATTACATTCAACGGATTTGATATGGATAAGGGGGTGGTAGGCTAAGAAAGTCCATTATAGGGGGTATACGATATTTTTTTAATATAGGGGCTTTTTTCGATAGTTAAACGCTTCACATGGGATGTATGCAATTAACTCGAAATATTTGCTAGAATGATAGTGAATGATGAGAAATTGACTGAGTAATTGTGTTGATTTTTTCGGATTGTTTTGATGCATTTCTAGATTTTTTTTAATTTTGTTTTGCCACAAAAAACATTAAACAGCGACTGTTAAATGGGTAAGCCCAAAGCCAAGTGTTTAGAGCCTGTATAAAGCGAAACTTCATCTTGAGAAATCTAACAGGAAACTTCATCTAGATCTTGGAATTATTAAATCGATCCAACAGATTCTAGCCCTACAAAATTAGAGCCAATAATTTGGAATTCGTTTTAAAATAAATTCATCTAAATAAAGTTGAAGGTTGCATTTGGAATCAAGGAATTGGATTGAGGATGAATTTCAAATCACTACACGTAGAGTGGATTTAAAGTCCACCGCAATTGTTAAAAAAAAGAACTAGATCAAAATAAAGAGTTAAGGATAAAAAATTCATAGGTAACCTTTTCATGATTTCTTATTATGCAAGGAGTTGGTTGAAATAATTGATGATTGTGAAGCTTCAAAATTGCATCCCATAAATTTTATCGCATAAAGCAAAAAACTAATAATCAGTAGAGTTCATACAACCAAGAAGTTCAATATACCTATAGAATGTGACGCATACAGTAATATTATTGTTTCTTCTTTAGAGAAGAAAACGGATTGTTTGCCTGCTCCAATTTGGATATGCAAGTTGATTAAAGAAGAGTTATCTTAACTCTTCTAACACACAAATTATGAACATGAGAAGAATAATAGGAAAAACCTTGTTTCGTTCCATTTAGCGAGGGCTACTAATTGCACTGATCAAGCTGTTGTCCAATCCATTTATACTGGATATAGATCAGGGTGCTGCTCACTGGTTAATCTCATGTTTCTATCAGGTATTATCTCTTCTTGTTTGTGGGACTGTAAATTATACTTTCTTAACCCCTCCAGTTCCATCATCACTTCTTTCATAGTTGGCCTTTCTTCACCTTTTAACTCGAGACATCTTTTAACAATCGCAGCCACTGCGCTAATTTGCTCCAAACTCCCTTCCTTTAAAATTCTTGGCTCAATAATTTGGAACAGGCGATTTTTTGTCACGAACATTACAAAGTAAGTAGATAGGTTCATCTCTTCTTCACTCTTTTGAATACACAGAGGTTTTCTCCCCGTGAGGAGCTCAGCCAAGACCACTCCGAAGCTATAAACATCACTTTTCTCTCTCAATTGGCTTGTTTGGAAATACTCGGGATCAAGATAACCCAGAGTTCCCTGTACAAGAGTGGTCACTTGTGTCCGATCAATAGGGATGAGTCTTGAAGCTCCAAAATCTGCTATTTTTGCAGTATAATACTCATCCAACAATATGTTGGCAGACTTAACATCTCTATGAATAATAGGCATTGCTGCTGAAGAGTGAAGATAGGCAAGTGCACTGGCAGCCTCTGTAGCAATCCTCAGCCGATTTTCCCAAGAAAACCAGGGCATGTCCCCACTGTTTTGGATATGGTAAAATAGGGTATTGTTTGAGACATATTCATATACTAACAAAGGTACTTCAGTTTCCAAACAACATCCCAATAATTTGACTACATTTCTGTGGTTAACCTGAGTCAAAATAACCACCTCATTGATGAAAACCTCTATTTGGCTATGATCCATTATTATGGATTTCTTGATTGCAACAATACGTTTATCTCTCAGTATCCCCCTGTAAACTGTTCCATAACCCCCTCGGCCGAGGATGCGATCATTGGAATAGTTGTTGGTGGCCTTCTCAAGCTCTTTTGCAGAAAATATTTTAGTTGATTCTATAGTAGTCTCATTAGAAGAAAGTTGTTGCTTCAATAAGAAACCACCATTTTGCTCGAAAAACTTTTCTCGTAGTTTCATGAGGTTCCTCTTCTGGATGATGAAGTATAACCAATTAATGCCGATTATCAAAACCAAGAAGCCTAAACCGAAACCTGAAAATTCACATTTAAGAATCCTAGATGTTAAACCAAAGTTACCACCTTATGGTTCCTAACAGCTGTAAACATTAATTTGCTTAATACTTGAAATCTATCTTCACGTAACATAGCCAAAAGAAAGGATAAAGACATTGAATTTATCATTTATATGTACCTATTGATAACTTTAGCGCTGATATGGGTTTCTTATGTTTATAGCAGCCAGTGCCATGTTTGGTGCCATCACCCGTGAGGCCATCAGGACACAAACAATTATAACTACCAGGTGAATTAGTGCATGTGGAATTTGCTACACATGGACTATTCTCACATTCATTTGTGTCTGAAAATAAGAAATAAACATCATAATAGTAAGCTTATCTAGATAACTATGGTAAGCCGTAAGTGTAGTGTAAAATACAAAAGAAGTACTAACCTGTGCAGCCTGGGTCGAGATATGGATGGCCCTCATATCCACCCAAGCAGCTGCAATGATACCCACCAAGACCTGTGTCAGAATCAATGCAATAAGTATTCTTCTGACATGCATAATCACTCGAGTTTTGTGAGTGACCGCATGTTTTATTCCCAATCACCCAATCTAGGAGTATCGGGACATTTTGGATGGTTCTGTTTGTAAAGGTTTTGTCCATGAGGTCAGATGAATGAAATGCGTATGTGTTTTGCTCTGCTAGAAAGGCATAACCACAAGGGTCAAAGGACCACACATTAGTGTGATTGTTGAAGGTTCCAAGGGCAGCTTCGAAACGTTGTAGTCCCTTTGGTATTGAGATTTGGCAACAACCTATACCAGTACAAGAACCATCACGAATATCCTCTTTCGTAGAGCAAAGAGACACACACCCGGTTGAGAAATTAAGCCCTTGAGTTCCCCATAGAATGGCATAATCATCACATCCGATGGTAGTGAACTTATTTGCATTTGAAAAGCTCAAGTATGGAGATAACTCGATTGAGAATGAGGTTACCCTTATCGACTTTCCTAGTTGGTCATAACATCTGTAAGCCAACCAGTTGTTGATCCTCATGTGGGAGTTTGTTACATCAATAACTTCAAGATTTCCTATACCAAGAAAGGACCTTGGAGGGCTGAAAGAAGTGTTGCAGTTGATATCGTATTGAGGATCTATAGAACATCCTGAGTCTATTCCAATTCCAAATGGATATGGAATAGTTAAATTCCCACACTTGCTTTCGCACCCAGGCTTAGCTATGTTACCGCCGTTTGTCATAGTTGTCAAAGGCGTCTTTGTGTTGGTTTCGTTAGAAACCGCCACAAGACATTCGATTAATACGAAATGGAAGAGAAGAGAACACAGAAGAAATTTTGTTAGCATTGTTGCTGATGATTTTGAGCTAATACGCATTCGGACAAGTCAAAACAATGATCTATCTATATATGTTATAAGGGTGTGAGATATAGGAAGATGTAGGGAAACAAATCTTTTTGAACTTTATGAACTTGAGGTAGGAACTATAGGAAGGATTTGTTACATTAATCAGAATTTGTATACAACTCTATGATGCATCATTGGTTAAGACACTGTCAAACTAAACACAATATTTATTTCATGGAAGGATAAGGATTTGTAGTTGGAGCAGTATTTTAATTAAGGACATCCCCTCACATCTCAAAACGAATGTCAACCATCCTGCCCCTTTTTTCCAGCTCTTATTACCATGACTTCACGAAAATAAATCCAGAGTATTTTCGGAAAATATGCTAAATTTGCTAATCGCTTGCATGTGACAATTCGGTGGTAAACGAGCGGAGCCGCTCGTGAGCTCGATGAACCGACTCGGAAAAAGTTCAATCTCGAACTCGAGCTTTTGGACGA